ATAGTTTTCAGTCATTACATGTCTGCTATCTGTACTTATAAACATTCAGTCATCTTTACTAATACTGAATTATCATAATAAAGAAAGTAATACAGGGTTGAAACATGAACAAAATAACATATTGTTAAAATGTCTCAATATTTTTGTTTATTCAGGTCAGTGATATCCACTGTTGTTTTGGATTTACTGACTTTTGTTATATGGACAGAAACATCTGAAAAATACATCCATATCATGTACATACATACAGCTTTATGAGGATGTGAGCGTGAGTAAATAATGACAGGATTTTGATGTTTACAGTTCACTATCCCTTTAATGGCTCATACAGGCATTTGTTATACAACACCTCTTTAACTTATGACTCTTTAAATTATAAAATTGTTACTGCCATTATTACGTGTAAAATGTTTTCTGGCCATTAAAATCACCTTTTCTGAGTTGCACTCAATGGACATAACAGGCTGCTCTACAATGTGTGTGTTAGATGGGTGTATGATAGAAGTGACTTACTGAAAAGCAGATTTAAAATGTCCATTGTCTCTTCCAGAATCACAGACACATTTAGACCTGACAATAAGTTTGTAATATTTATTTTTCAAAGCCCAAGAGTCTATAAACTACAAAAATGCATCATATTTATGCTACTAAGCTAAAATGTATCACTGTAAACCAGGGCTGTTTCTAGCCAATTTGAAGCCCTAGGCGAAATCCCTACTGCCCCCGAAAAATTATATATATATATAATATATAGTTGCTTGTCACATTCAAATTGGTTGTCATAGTAATTTTAACTTTATTTACTGTACCAATATTTTAAATTGGCCTTTGAACTTAGCTTTATTGCATGGCAAAAAGAGTGTTACCTTGCCAAAGCACTGACAGAGCCCACTGATCTAATGGCATTGTTGAGTGCTCCAAATGCAAACTTTGCATTCAACAATGAGGCAGCAACTGACAGCACTCTGATCTAGTGGCATACAGGCATCGTCAGATTGACAGTACTCTAGCCCAGTAATGTTGGGGGATCCAGTGGGGGCGGCAGTCATATTTCAGGGTGACCATGCCGCTCTTTATAACAACCCTGCTAAAAGTGCCAGTACGTGCGCTCATTGGCGCCTCTTCAGCTGGTGGCGCCCTAGGCGACCGCCTAGCTCGCCTATGCCTAGAAACGGCCCTGCTGTAAACCCTTCATTTGACCATTACTGACATTAAATCAGCATTATGGAAAAGTATGTCATGCTCATATAATGTGGTAAAACATTGTGTGCTTGTTTTTATACTTGTCCTACACAAAGACAAAAAAGGCTAAATATGTAAACCTCATACATAACCTCACATCTGTGGTGTGTGTATAGTTTCTAGATAAGCACAGTATAGTGGTAATAGCAGGAAATTATAGGCAGAACTCAAATTAGCTCTCAACCAACATGTTGCCTTTGTCTGTGCAGTGCAGTTTTCTTTATGAAATATGCTGCAGTTGTTTGCAGGGATGAATATAAATGCATGAAGCAAAAGATCAAATCAGAGTACATGCTTTTGTTTGTGAAGAGAGAGGATTTACATGATGCAAATATTTTATGACTCCTCCTTATTTATGGATGTGCACATAAACAGGCTAATTATGCTGCATATTTAGTGCACAGTTAAGAGCAAACATTAAACATCATGACTGTGTGGATTCTGTTGCTGCTCTTTTCTGCAACACCAAGTATGTTATCAGGAAATACTACAATGCTGCTATTGATTTTCATACTTAACATTGTTTTGAACTCATTTGCTTCTTTCTTCAGGTGTCTACAGTATTGAACTCATTCAGCCAGACTCTAAAGAACTAAAGCCTGGCCAACCTTTGAGTCTCTCCTGTAAAGTCTCAGGCTATTCACTGTCTAGCTGTAGCTACTGCACAAACTGGATACGACAAGCTTCTGGAGGACTGGAGTGGATTAGAAGAGTTTGCTGCAATGGAGACACATACAATAGTGAAAAACTAAAGAACAAGTTCAGTATCTCCAGAGACACGTCCAGCAGCACTGTGACAATAACAGGCCAAAACATGCAGACTGAAGACACAGCCATGTATTACTGCGCACGAGAGTCACAGTGACACAAAACAACAAGAGGCATGCACAACAACATCCAGAGAGAGAAACACAGCTATAGACAGTTACTTGCTTAAGAAAGAAAAGTATAAAACTAAATCTGTAGTTCAATCATGACTATTCTCAGAAGATTTGAGCATGGTAATGGTTATGACAATGTTAATGTATTTGGTCTTGGCGGAATACATCTACTACGCTGCTGCTGAATTGCTGCTGCTGTTGGTTATTGCTGTAGTTGTATATTATTGCTACTGCTGCAAGCAAGTACATGAACTTGCTACTGCCAATGCATACGGCGATACAGTGCTCTGAGTATTTAAGACATACTGCTGCACAAATAGCATAAAAATAACCTGTAGCAGGTGGAGCTGGGGAAGGTGGTGGGTTTCAGAGGAACTCAGAAAAGCGCGCTGCGAAATGCTCAAGTGGATGCTAACCAGCCATTTAAATGTAAAGCAGCAAGCTTATTGGCTACGTGACATGAATCAATCAGCTTGTGCCAAGTCGTTTAACGCTGTGAATATTATTAGCTACGTTAATACCCGTCAGCCTGCGCCATTTAAAGTTTCATGAATCATGACTGAACTATACATTTGAATATGTAATTTAAAAGTGTGAATTTAGACTGTGCATTGCTGTGCCATATAATCATAGTGGCATAAAAAAGGGGGAAAAGAGGGACATAATACAGAGCCCAGAGCTATTGGGGGCTCTGTTTGATATTGATTCCCCCAATTTCTAAAGGAAATCATTGCAAAAACATTCCTTCAATGGCATCATACAATTGCCATCAATCCTAAGTCATGACATATGTGATGCATTCCATCAAATGAGTTGCAAATCTAATTCAGTTGCAGTGGGCCATATGTGTAGAAACATGATTATAAGTATATAAAATTTGAAATAACAAATTTCAAGCATTTCATTTTGATGTACTTTAATGTGGTGTGCCAGATCGCTGTAGCTGCCTCAGTATAAACAGCAGCACGGAGCGTGTGTGATCCGATCCTGTCTTAGTCTTAGTTATACCATGAAATCAGATGTTATGCTGAAATATGCAGTGCAGCTGAAGTTACATTTACTTTTACATTTTTCAGTGTCCACAGCTCAAAAGAGAACTTCAGGGAAGAGCATATCACATATCACTGAATATTGTGAATGTATTGTTAAATATAAACTATATTATACATACCCCCACCCATTTTTTTACTGAACTTATTAAAAATAATATTTTAAAATCTTTATAGGCAATTTTCTAAAAAAAATTTAAAAAACTCTCAGAATAATTTACTTTAATAATAATTTAATTATAATTAGCCTATATCATTATAAAACAAACTCTCCATTTTCATTAAGAGCAGGGCTGGACTGGGCCCTGGCATTTTTTGGTCCAGGCAGCCCATCACCACTTCGATATATATATATACTGTATATATACACTATACCAGTCAAAAGTTTTTGAACAGTAAGATTTTTTATGTTTTTTAAAGAATTCTCTTCTGCTCACCAAGCCTGCATTTATTTGATCCAAAATACAGCAAAAGCAGTAATATAGTGAAATATTTTTACTATTTAAAATAACTGTTTCTATTTGAATATATTTTAAAATGTAATTTATTCCTGCGATTTCAAAGCTGAATTTTTTGCATCATTACTCCAGTCACATGATCCTTCAGAAATCATTCAAATATTCTGATTTGCTGCTCAAAAAACATTTATTATTATTATTATTATGTTGAAAACAGCGGAGTAGAATTTTTCAGGTTTCTTTGATTAATAGAAAGTTCAGAAGAATAGCACTTATCTGAAATATAATTTTTTTAACATTATGTCTTTATCGTCACTTTTGGTCAATTTAAAGCATCCTTGCTAAATAAAAGTATTAATTTCTATAATTTCCCAAAAAAATAAAAAATAAAAAATAAAATGAAAATACTGACTCCAAGCTTTTGAATGGTATATGTATAATGTTACAAAAGCTTTTTATTTCATATGAATGCTGATCTTTGGATCTTTCTACTGGATCTTTCTTACTGTTCAAAAAATTTGGTAGTGAATGTATGTAGCCCAGGGGCGGATTTAGTGAATTGGGGGCCCCAGGCAAAATATAGGAATGGGGCCCTATACATTTGCACACATTTTCCTAGATCAACCTTGAGGTTCCATTTTGTTGTTTTCAGCGTAAGCCTGCAAAGGCTGTCTAATTCTAAACCTTAAAAAACATTTATTTTTAGTTGTTTTAACTACAAATTTAAATAAAACTGAAAAAATAATGAAAAGGCAATTATACATTTACACACCTAAAATACATATATCAAGAGCATGCTCACAGATGAGAACAAAACAGCATTGGATGAAGTGGATTAAAGCCCTGCACGGGTCTCAAATATAGGCCCTATAGCCTGTCTTTTTTTCCCCTTTTCCCAAAAAAAGCTTATACTACTGTTTCAGCTATTAAAATATAGTTCAGTTTTGTATGTAATGGAAAAGTGATTAAATTTTGTTTCTTTTTTTTATAAAGTACATTTAGAAAAATATTTGGAGTATTTTTTGTTCGTTAAATGTAAGTTTTTTGTTTTTTTAAGTAAAAGCCAGTGGCAGACAGTGAATTTCATCATAGCCTATAGCCTATAGCCTATGTCTGATCAATTTAGCCTTCTCAAATCATCAGGACTTGCCTAAAATAAAATCTATATATAAAATGATGCAGAAAAAGCACTGAGCTGTACAAAAACATGCCAGGGAGGAAATTTAGATTAAAACAGTAACAACAACAGATGGCGCTGCAGCACAGTACAACTCTGAGCCAAAGAAACAGACCATCTTATCTTAATGGATGCAAGACATCTTATCCTAATGGATGATATACTGGCCCATATTTACCTATATTTACCTAGAATATAAGCTATTTAAATGCCATGATTGCTAATACATATGCCATGAATGACCTTAAGTGAATATATAAGAAATAACAAATATTAAGTTGAATTAAATGTGTTCTATTGTTAATGTCACAGATCCGTCTCTGTCAATGCTATCTTTTGAAAGAATATGATATGTAGATACTCATTTACTGGGTTGCATATGCAGTATGTATGCAAATATTGTCCCTCCTCCTCTTTATTTGAGTATTAGGATGAAAAGAAGCAGCTTGTTCTCACTCGTCTCAAACCATGATCTCTTCATCTCTCTGGTTGTTATGCTCTTATTTCTATTTTATTTTTCAATAGGAGTGAAAGGTCAGAATTTGGAGTCCATTTCTTCTGTAGCAGAGGTAAAGCCTGGAGAAACTCTGAGTCTTTCCTGTAGAGGATCAGGATTTACTTTCGGAAGCTACATGCACTGGGTCAGACAGCAACCTGGAAAAGCACTGGTGTGGATGGGCCGTGTTTGGAGTAATGGACAAGGACAAGACCATGCTAAAAGTTTTGAGGGACGAAAAGAAATTACTAGAGACAATTAAAAAAACATGGTGTATCTGAAACTGTCTGGGCTCACAGAAGACTCAGGACTCAGCTGTGTATTTCTGTGCAAGAGAATCACAGTATGTGGCAATGATAGAAAAACTGCTAGAGTCTAGACACACTTTTAGTTTAAAACTGCAGTTCTCATCTGTGTCAGTAGGTTGCAGTGGAACACGAAGTCGTCTACTAGTAACTCCCACAGTCACAGAATACTTTCTTCTAAACTTCTCAAAACTTAAAGGAGTCATATGATGCTAATAAAAAGAACATTATTTTGTGTATTTGGTGTAATGAAATGTGTTTTAAGGTAAAAAAAAAACCGTTTTTCCACATACTGTACATTATTGTTTCTCCTCTATGCCCCGCCTTTCTGAAACGTGTCGATTTTTACAAAGCTCATCGTTCTAAAAAAGCGAGGTGTGCTTTCATTGGCCAGCTATCCAGTGCGTTGTGATTGGTCGAATACCTTAAGCATGTGACGGAAATGTTACGCCCCTTACCATACTGTGATGATGCCCTGTCAGGCCGGAGCGACGAGACAAAAACATGAAAACTCATTTTAAACAAGGCATTCGTTGCCTCCAGTGGGGACATAATTATGGATTATAATGACTTATACTGTCTTTTTAAAAAACATAAAACCATGTCTGCATTTGTGATCAGAGAAATGACAAACAACAAGTGCTACTCTACACTGCTAAAAACTCACGTTTGAATCGTCAGTGGCAAATACTTTGTACTTACAGTCTGTGAGTCAGAACAGCCGCCATTGTAGTCTACTCTCCCAGGATCAGGAAACGGTCCTCCATAAAATGTGCTGCACACATCTGAATATTTGAGTTGAACTGTACTGGAACAGTGTTGTAAATACAACTTAACCACTGATTTCTAGTCGTGTCCATTTTTGGAAGACCAAACAAAGTAGTTTCGCTTTCAGAACAAAACACAGTGTCACACATGGCGGCCTAGAATGAGCAGAGGCGGCGGGTTTGAGAACGACGTTACCGGTGTATTCGATGAAGGAGCGTCCGGAAAGTTACGCCTTCTTTCTTTGCGTGAACATTTGGCCAGCGTTATGCAAATCTTCCCACATTGTGACGTAGACATGTGGGGGCGTGTTAGAACGAGCCGTTTTAGGTAGGTGTGGTTGAATCTTAACTTTTATAAAGAATATCTCTTTGGATTTGAAACTTTAGTCTTTGCAACTTTACAGATCTTCTTTATGCACCAAGAGCTTGTAACACTCCAAAGAGAAAGGAAAAATTTTAATCGCATCATATGACCCCTTTAATAAGACACTATTCACAATCAAGATTCATTTATATGCTTCCTGTTCACTTCACAAACACTTTTTCCAGGATGTGCTGCTGATCTGGGCCCGTATTCACAAAACATCTTAAGGCTAAAAGTAGCTCGTAACTCGCCGATTTAGGAGAAAATCTTTAAAATAATGGGCGTGTCAGTCCTAAATTCAGGACTCCTAAATTTTTTATCTAAAAGTATTTCACAAAGGATTTTAGCTCTAAAACTAGCTGCTAAAT